CAAGTTGAAGCTTCTTCTTCTTCCTCCAACTTCCCCACTGGACTTCCTGAGATCGGGCACTGCTTTTCCTCCCTGTGAACCTTCCCAAACTTTCCCATCCAATCAGGTAAGCCATATTCTCAAAACTTCCTACCCTTCTTTTAACCGTATATATTGTCCCTCTATTCCCCCCAGTCATGTTGTCCTTGCGCTTAATTTTTTTTTTTTTTTGCTTCGGGCCTACCTTTACATTCAGTGGAGTACAGGTGAGACATCCAGGGTCTGGATGTCTCATTAAAGGGTACCAGTTGCCAAAAACCCATCACATAGGGGATTTTTTGTCCCTTATCCAATAAAAAAAAAAGTAAAAAAAAAACTAAAGTTACACACAAGCACATCACAACCACAAATGTTTGATCTCCCCACACACCCACGTATATACACATATGAGTGTAAACACACACATCAGAGGCACCTACACATGAAAACATTGAATGCCATACACGTTACCTAATGCCATGTGAAGCGAGAGCAATAATTCTGGCACCAGACCTTCTCTGTAATGCTAAAATGATGACATGTAGGGCTTTTAAAGTGTCCCTTTAGAAAAATATAGGGTACTGATGTCTGTCGCCATTTCACGGGTGCACACAAATTTAAGGTTTGACATGTTTGGTATCTATTTACTCGTGCAAACTCGTCTTTTATGTTTTATCAAAAAATATGGTAATTTATTGTGTTTCTGTGCCCTAAAATTAACTTGTGCTCATTTTTTACTGAAATTTTGCATTTGCTAGACCTTTGCAGTAATATCTTGTGACATAAAAATTGTAACTACCACTATTTTATTTTCTAGCTTGTCTCCTTTAAACAAAATATATAATGTTTTCGATGCTAAAGCAATACTAAAGGCTCAGTTTTTTTAAAAATAACAAACATGTTATAGCTATCTGCTCTGTGCAGTGGTTTTATACAGAGCAGCCTGGATCCTCTTCTTGTGGGGTCCCCCGCCGGTGCTCCTGGACCCTCCCTCCTATCCGGTGCCCCTAGAGCAAACAGCTTGCTATGGGGGCACCCAAGCAGGCAAACTTCCAAACCACTGGTCTGTGTGTCCATTCACATATGGAGTCGCGGCTCGGCCCTGCCCCCTCTCTCTCCTCCTTGGTTCACTGGCTGTGATTGACAGAAGAGGGAGCCAGTGGTTCCCGCTGCTGTCTCATCCAATGAGGAGGGAGTCCCCAGCTCTTGTGCACATCGCTGGATCGCAATGGGGCTTGGGTGAGTATTAGGAATACATGAATGCATGAAGGTAAAAAACCTTGAGCCTTTAGAACCACTTTAAAGGATAAATTCACCTTTGTTCACCTTTTTTCTCTAGATTCCAGCTCCCCTATGTACCAATATTGCATTAATGTACTTCTTTTGCAGAAATTCAAAAGTTTTCCATTTTTTCTACCCACCTTTATGTCAGTGTCCAGATGGCTGTCCAAAAAGATTCTCCATGACTTCTGCCTTATGCAGGCCATAGACGATTCGTTTATCGGCCGAATTTTCATCCAAAAGAATAATCGGCCGATATTCGCACCGTTAGTGGGGCAATGTCGTCGGCCGATTTTCGCAGTTCCTCCTCATTTCTTTTATCGGTCATGCTGGAAAATTTATGAAAAATGGCTGATTTTTGTAAGCATTGGTGGCAACAGAACGACCGATTTTTCGTTTTTTTGGCCGAAAATTCGGCCGATAAACGAACCGTCTATGGCCTGCATTATTTCCTGCAGAGACTTTAGGTCATGACACAGGAAGAAATTGACCAGCTCACCTCATTAGCACCTCCCCCCCGCATCACCTACCCTCCTACCTCCCACCCACTTCCAGGTGCACGAATATTAAATGAAAAGCAATCAATCAGTGATCACTGTACTCACTAAATACACAGACATTGACTGTTATTTTCTACCTTAAAGTGTTTCTAAACCCAGAACCCTACATTTCCTATATCTGGTCTCCCAAACCCTGCATTCACTATATCTGGTCTCCCCGGATGGACCCTGCATTCACTATATCTGGTCTCCCCGGATGGACCCTGCATTCACTATATCTGGTCTCCCCGGACCCTGCATTCACTATATCCGATCTCCCCGGGCCCTGCATTCACTATATCCGGTCTCCCTGGACCCTGCATTCACTATATCCGATCTCCCCGGGCCCTGCATTCACTATATCTGGTCTCCCCGGGCCCTGCATTCACTATATCCGATCTCCCCGGGCCCTGCATTCACTATATCCGGTCTCCCCGGACCCTGCATTCACTATATCCGATCTCCCCGGAACCTGCATTCACTATATCCGGTCTCTCCGGACCCTGCATTCACTATATCTGCTCTCCCCGGACCCTGCATTCACTATATCTGGTCTCCCCGGACCCTGCATTCACTATATCTGGTCTCCCCGGACCCTGCATTCACTATATCTGGTCTCCCCGGACCCTGCATTCACTATATCCGATCTCCCCGGAACCTGCATTCACTATATCCGGTCTCCCTGGACCCTGCATTCACTATATCCGATCTCCCCGAGCCCTGCATTCACTATATCCGGTCTCCCCGGACCCTGCATTCACTATATCCGATCTCCCCGGAACCTGCATTCACTATATCCGGTCTCCCCGGAACCTGCATTCACTATATCCGGTCTCTCCCCGGACCCTGCATTCACTATATCCGGTCTCCCCGGACCCTGCATTCACTATATCTGGTCTCCCCGGACCCTGCATTCACTATATCTGGTCTCCCCGGACCCTGCATTCACTATATCTGGTCTCCCTGGACCCTGCATTCACTATATCCGATCTCCCCGGAACCTGCATTCACTATATCTGGTCTCCCTGGACCCTGCATTCACTATATCCGATCTCCCCGAGCCCTGCATTCACTATATCCGGTCTCCCTGGACCCTGCATTCACTATATCCGATCTCCCCGGAACCTGCATTCACTATATCCGGTCTCCCCGGAACCTGCATTCACTATATCCGGTCTCCCCGGACCCTGCATTCACTATATCTGGTCTCCCCGGACCCTGCATTCACTATATCTGGTCTCCCCGGACCCTGCATTCACTATATCTGGTCTCCCCGGACCCTGCATTCACTATATCCGGTCTCCTCGGACCCTGCAGTCACTATATCTGGTCTCCCAGAACCTGCATTCACTATATCCGGTCTCCCTGGACCTTGCATTCACTATATCTGGTCTCCCCAGACCCTGCATTCACTATATCCGGTCTCCCTGGACCCTACATTGACTATATCTGGTCTCCCCAGACCCTGGATTTACTATATGTAATCTCCCCGGACTCTGCATTCACTATATCCGCTCTCCCCGGACTCTGCATTCACTATATCCGGTCTCCCCGGACCCTGCAGTCACTATATCCGGTCTCCCCGGACCCTGCAGTCACTATATCCGGTCTCCCCGGACCCTGCATTCACTATATCTGGTCTCCCCGGACCCTGCATTCACTATATCTGGTCTCCCCAGACCCTGCAGTCACTATATCCGGTCTCCCCGGACCCTGCATTCACTATATCTGGTCTCCCACAGTACACACAACGTGGAAATGCAAATATTTTAGCAAATATAGACTGCTAAATACCTTTTCTCATCAGCAGTATATAGCAGTCTTGTGGCTTCTATCAGTATCCAGACCAGCACTAGCTAAAGCTTGTAGAAAGAGTTTTCTTTTTGCTCCAAGAGGATACAGAACCCCTGACCTCTGTCTGCACAGTGCTGACTGACCCTGTGCTGATCACATGCCCTCTCCCTCCTAAGAAAACAAAAACCTCTCTAGCAATACACACCAAACTGAGCTTGTGCAAATGCCTACTGTTCAGTCTGTATTATCAGGAGATAATAGGCGGTCGCTTGAAAAAAGGGAGGAACAGAGAAAACAGGATCAAACAGCCTTTTTACACAATGTAGGGGATTAACCCCTTAGGTTCCACAGTGAGTATAACAAGCATGCTTTACTGCATATACAGACTGATTGTACTGTTGTGGGGTTAGTAACACTTTAAATTTCATCTTGCATAGATCATTCATTTGGCAGATTGTGCTCAGGGAACAGATAATAGCTTATGTGGATAGAGCTGTAGTACTGAAAACAGGAGAATTGTGTTCTGGGTTCTGTAAGGTTCACATACACAATACAATCTGATTGTACAATCTCCTTTAGATCTACCATCAACTATGTAGTGCAACGGCCTGCCTAATTGGATACAGAGTGATTGGGTAGATAGGTGGGTCCTCCTATTCCATAGTTCTGAAAAATCTAAAGGAAACTGTACAGTGATTGTACAATCAGATTGCATTGTGTATGGCCACATGTACGGCACTGGGATAGCACTGCTCATAGGTGGAAACGGAATCAGAGAGGGACTTGGAAGAGGGGTGGTGGTGGGCTCAGGTGATTATAACTGGCTTTACCAGGTAAGGAAAACTTTTTACATGGCAGAATGGATTAGAGGGAAGTTGAAGTAAGGGTTGGGAAAAAATATTTGTGTCTTCAAATCGCCTTAGTTAGGTGATACATGAGGCCAAGATAGCAGTCGTAGGATCTCAAGAGACCCTGATGGCTAGTGAGGAGCTGATTAGCAGCTTAAGTGAGATAGTCAAATTCTGGTCAGGACTGAGAGACTGTGCAGGCCAGCCCCTCTGCAATTTCTCCCTGCTCTGAGGCTTTTGGAGGAGGGCCTTGGAGGCAGTGGGTGGATCTGAGGAATGGCTGGCTACACTTTTGAAGGACCTAAGCCATTCCCAAACAGGAGGCTTGGCAAGGGGCTGGACTCCCTTAAAAAGTGTAGGAGCCTGCTCAGTAGCAGGAGAGTCAGGTGGAAGGAGACAGGGAGATGTGAAGCTGGAGGACAAAGGATGTGTGGAGGCCTAGTGGGATGGGGCCTGTCTGCAAACCTGGAGATAGAAAGGAGGAAAACTCAGGACTCACTGGCCCCTGAGAGAGGACCACCTGTATGGCAGGGAAGGAGCAGCCCAGCTGATAGTCCTGGTAGCAGCAGCCATTCTGCAAGCGGTACAAGAGAGGATCTGAATGAGTAAACTTGCACCCCCTCGGCGGATAGGGGAAGGAGCACTTTGGTGGGAAACCAGATTAGCCCTCTGCTAGTGACTGTACACCTTACTTAAAGGGACAGGAGCCAGATCCCCTGCTCAGGAAGAAAGTCTCCAGATTGCTGGGTGAAGAGGAGTTCATCTAGGGTCTGGGGTAGTACAACTGGAGCTGCTGGCTAGCACTCCAACAGAGACTGTGTCAGAGAAGAGAAGCTGTGAATAGTTCAGGAAGTTGTCCTCAGATTTCAGTTCCCTTGGGCATCCTATAGACCCCTTACCCCATTCAAGTTTAATCCCCTCAATAAAATACCAAAACCAGCACTCGAGGCCTGATTTCTGTTTATGGATGAAAGTTTGTGTGGAAAATGCTAACTGACTGGCTGTGCAGGACTATAAGGAGGATCCAAATTCATCAGCAACTCCTAAGGGGGTATTGCTACACGTGGAGGTTCGTATTCTGGGATTCGCCTATAGCAACTTTCTGCCAATGCCCCTACCAGCGCATAAGGTTGAAAAAGAGAACGTTTCACGGAACCCAGTAAACCATGCCGGCCTATCAAAAAGTCTTTATGCTGCTCCCAGGTGGCTCCTAACAAAGACTGTGCCATGTATGTTACTTTTGTGAACCTTTGTAAAATGTCCAATTTACTGGCTGTACTGTCCGCCATTGCCTGGAGCAACCAGGGTGGCCCATCAGTGCACAGATGCCTTTTGGCTGCTCCCCAAGTTACATAGTTAGTCTGGCTAAAAAAAGACAAAAGTCCATCCAGTTCAACCATAAAATAAAATAGGTGGCCACCAACAAAGGCAAAAGACAGTAACGTGCTCTTTCTGATGTAAAAATGGCAACAAGTGACTCTGCTCAAACAGTAATCTGCCTCTTTGCTATGATCAATGGATTACAAATATTTTATTGTCTAGTGAGGATTGAACTTGGCAACTCTGATTGTGACCTTGCATTCAGAGAGGGGTGTGCTCTTTACCCCACCGATGCCCGTGGCGACCAGTGCGGGACCAACTTTTACTGTGTACGTGCAACCCAGCTATTCAGTGATGGCTGGAAACCAATGTTCAGCACTAGCCAGAAAACTTAGTGCCCTGCCAGCAGGATACAACCATTACCGTGATTGCAGCTTGGCCCAAGTCAGCACATGGGAGGTTAATTCCTTGGCAGGAAAAGTCCCAGCATGGCAGTCTGGCCAGCACCAAGAGATCATGAGGAGGGGCCTGGCCAAACCTACCAGCATGCCCAAGTTAATGCCCAACCGCCTGTGCTTAAAACTGCCCACTACACTCACCACATGGAGGTAGAGCATGAGTAGAGAAAGATGGGGGACATTTTGCCAGTCTATTCAAACATTTACCTTCCGGAGCTGCCCCTCTTGGATACGGGGGTCTGCCTTGAGCATCATGGATGTTTTTCTCTGGGGATGGTCAAGGGCACCAAAAGATTATGCCTCTGTTGTCCTGATTGCAGGAGGCCAGCTGCACTGTTCAGAGCTTGGGCCAGGTGTGGACATTGTGAAGAGTCTCCTAATGGTCTGCTGCCCCGTGATCTGGCACCTGGCAGCTATGTTTTGGGGATCTACAGATGGGACTTTGCACGGAGAGACCAGAAAGCTGGAAGACTGGAGTTGGTCCATAGTCTGCTACACCAAGTGCAAGTCCCGGGACCACGACTCCCCTGCCATCGTTGCTGACCCACCCAGCAGAGAAGGGTCGCATACTGCCATTCCCCTCTTGCTAAAAGATGCCAGAGTCTACAGCTACTGTACAGCAGGAATTGGCCAACACATTGACATTGGAACAGCGAGCCTTGCTCCCCTGCCTTGACCTCTCTACTCAGAAGGAACTTTGTTGCAGGGATGACCAGTCCTCAGATAAGCTGGTGGAGAGCGATAGTGGCAGGAAGCTAATTTGGGAATCACCCAGACTACTGGTGAGGTTCGGGTCCCTGGAGAACAGGGTGAGTGGACCTCAGAGGAGACAGAAGAGGAGTGGGACTGGGGGGACACTACAGTTGAACTGGACTTGTAAATGGAATCATAGGAACCCCCATACACTCCAGACTCTGCTGGACAATCTTGCAGGTTGGAGCCAGTTAGGATTTCGTCTCACCCCTCACCATTGAAGTCTTCTGCTTCACCCTTGTCCAGGACCAAGGTCAGAGACACTGAGGTGAGGGAGTGAGCCTTTCAATCACCACAGGCTTGCATGCAGCCTGGGTTAGGGGACAAGGGGAACCTGCCCTGCTTCTCTGATATATATATATATATATATATATATATATATATATATATATAGACTATATTGTCAAAAGTACTGGGAAGCCTGCCTTCCCACGCACATGAACCTTAATGGCATCCCAGTCTTAGTCCGTAGGGTTCAATATTGGTTTGGCCCCGCCCTTTGCAGCTATAACAGCTTCAACTCATCTGGGAAGGTCGTCCACAAGGTTTAGGAGGGTGTCTATGGGAAGGTTGGACCATTCTTCCAGAAGCACATTTGTGAGGTCAGACACTGATATTGGACAAGAAGACCTGGCTCGCAGTCTCCACTCTAATTCATCCCAAAGGTGTTCTATGGGGTTGAGGTCAGGACTCTGTGCAGACCAGTCAAGTTCCTCCACCCCAAAGTCGCTCATCCATGTCTTTATAGACCTTGGTTTGTGCACTGGTGCGCAGTCATGTAGGAACAGGAAGGGGCCATCCCCACACTCTTCCCACAAAGTTGGGAGCATGAAATTGTCCAAAATGTCTTGGCATGCTGACGCCTTAAGAGTTCCCTTCACTGGAACTAGGGGGCCAAGCCCAACCCCTGAAAAATAACCCCACACCATAATCTTCCTTCCACCAAAATTTACACTTGGAACAATGCAGTCAGGCATGCACTGTTCTCCTGGATGCATAGAAAAACAAACCGTTCTCCTGAAAACCGCCAACTCCCAGACATGTCCATTGGATTGCCAGACAGAGAAGGGTGATTGGTCACTTCAGAGAACACATCTCCATTGTTCTAGAGCAGGGATCTCCAAACTATGGCCCTCCAGCTGTTGAAGTACTACAAGTCCCATCATGTCTCTGCCACTGGGACACTTGCTTTTGCTGTGGCTCTTGTAAGGCCTCATGGGACTTGCATTTCCTCAACACCTGGAGGGCCATAGTTTGGAGACTCCTGCTCTAGAGTCCAGTGGCGGTGTGCTTTACACCACAACATCCGACGCTTTGCATTGCACTTGGTGATGTAAAGCTTGGATGCAGCTGCTCGGCCATGGAAACCCATTCCATGAAGCTCTCTATGCACTATTGTTGTGCTAATCTGAAGGCCACACCAAGTGACCTTTAGCTATTGACTCTGCAGACAGTTGGCGACTTCTGCGCACTGTGCGCTTCATCATGCACTGACCCCGCTCTGAGTTGCTGTTGTTCCCAGTTGCTTCCACTTTGTTATAATCCCACTAACAGTTGACCGCGGAATATTTAGTAGCAAGGAAATTTCATGGATGGACTTATTGCACAGGTGGCAACCTATCACGGGACCACGCTTGGAGTCACTGAGCTCCTGAGAGCGACCCATTCTTTCACCAATGTTTTGTAGAAGCAGTCTGCATGCCTAGGGGCTTGATTTTATACACCTGTGGCCATGGAGGTTATTGGAACACCTAAATCCAATGATTGGGAGGGGGCGGGCCCAATACTTTTGGGAATATAGTGTGTGTGTATATATATATATGTTTATACAGTGTATAGTGTATATGAGCCCATATATGCAGTTATGGTTATCTTGATCCTCACCATCTGACAGTGCAACAAGTATCAATAATCCAATACCAATAATCCTTGCTGCTCTGCCCATGCTCCTTTTTGCGTATCTTGTGACTTTCTCTTCAATGACATCAAGAGGGGAAGCATTGGGTATTAATGCATTCTGGCAGTACTTGCTGTCAACATACACTTAAACACCATTGGGCAGATATACAGTGAAGGAAATGCGTATTTGATCCCCTGCTGATGTTGAATGTTTGCCCACTCACAAAGAAATGATCAGTCTAAAAATCGAATGTTCGGTGTATTGTAACACTGAGAGACAGAATAGTAACAAAAAATTCAGCAGAAATGCATGTCTAACAAATGATGACTGATTTGCATGTTCATGAGGGAAATAAGTATTTGATCCCCTTCACAAAACATAACTTAGTACTTGGTGGCAAATCCCTTGTTGGCGATCACAGAGGTCAGATGTTTCCTGTAGTTGGCCACCAGGTTTGCACACATCTCAGGAGGGATTTTGGCCCACTCCTCTTGGCAGATCCTCTCCAAGTCTTTAGGTTTGGTGACTGACGTTTGGCAAATCAAACTTTCAGCTCTCTCCAAAGATTTTCAATTAAGGTCTGGAAACAGGCTAGGCCACTCCAGGACCTTAATGTGCTTCTTCTTGAGCCACTCGTTTGTTGCCTTGGCCGTGTGTTTTGGGTAATTATCATGCTGGAACACCCATCCACGAACCATTTTCAATGCCCTGGCTGAGGGAAGAAGGTTCTCACCCAAGATTTGATGGTACATTTTCCCGTCCATCGTCCCTTTGATGCTGTGTAGTCGTCCTGTCCCCTTAGCAGAAAAACACTCCCAAAGCAGAATGTTTTCACCACATTTGACAGTTGGGATGGTGTTCTTGGGGTCATAGGCAGCATTCCTCCTCCTCCAAACACAGTGAGTTGATTTGATGCCAAAGAGCTCGATTTTGGTCTCATCTAACCACAACACTTTCAACCAGTCCTCCTCTGCATCATTCAGATGTTCAGTGGCAAACTTCAGACGGGTCTGGACATGTGCTTTCTTGAGCAGAGGGACCTTGCGGGCACTGCAGGATTTCAATCCTTGTCGGCGTAGTGTGTTACCAATTGTTTTCTTGGTGACTGTGGTCCCATCTGCCTGGATATCATTGACACGATCCTCACGTGTAGTTCTGGGATGATTCCTCACTGTTCTCATGATCATTGACACTTCACGAGGTGAGATCTTGCATGGTGCACCAGACCTAGGGAGACTGACACTTTGTTTTGTGTTTCTTCCATTTGCGAATGATTGCAGCAACTGTTGTCACCTTCTCACCAAGCTGCTTGGCCATAGTTTGGTAGCCCAGTCCAGCCTTGTGTAGGTCTACAATCTTGTCCCTGACATCCTTGGACAGCTCTTTGGTCTTTGCCATGGTGGAGAGTTTGGAACCTGATTGTTTGATTGCTCCTGTGGACAGGTGTCTTTTATACAGGTAACAAAATGAGATTCGCAGCACTCCCTTTAAGAGACTGCTTCTAATCTCAGCTTGTTACCTGTATGAAAGACACCTGGTAGCCAGAAATCCTGCTGAATGATAGGGGATCAAATACTTATTTCCCTCATGAACATGTAAATCAGTCATCATTTGTTAGACATGCACTTCTTTTGATTTTTTTGTTGCTATTCTATCTCTCAGTGCTACAATACATCGAACATTCGATTTTTAGACTGATCATTTTTGTGAGTGGGCAAATATTCAAAATCAGCAGGGGAGCAAATACTTATTTTCTTCACTGTACATCCACTGCAATAATGAATTTCGGCAGAACCCCAGTTGAGAAACCCTGGTCTACATAAAGCCATAATTAAAAAGTCAGGATCAAGTTTTATATAGCCCAGAGTAGGAATTTATAACTGAAGCTGTAACCTTGAAGTAAATATGTCTCACTGCTTCTCTTAAACATTGTCCTGCTATGCATCAGAATCAATAAATATCACCTCCATTTTTTAAATTTTTTTTTTTTTTTTTTTTTAGTTTATGAATGGCCATCCTGAGTATAATGCTTGTGTCTTGCTGCCCTCTTATGGGGATTTTAGCTATTGCACTCATGCATTCTGTAAAAGAACAATAACAAAGAATGTACCAAATGTCTGATGCTTTACTGACATCTTGTGGTTATTTTACTAAGTGCATCATTCTTCAATTAATGATACAGAATATGTGGAAAATGCAGAAGTTGAACTTGCTAAACACACACACACCAAAATAAACCCAGAGTGTTACTGACAAATGCTGAGGAATATTTTATATACTCTCTATATATAAATATAGTCTAGATAAACATGAACTTTACTGAGTTCTTACTTTCATATATACAGTACACAGGACGTTGCATGGCAAAAAAATCCAGTTTTCATTTAGAATTAGAATGCCAGCTGATGGTTTCAAGCGATTCTGTCTTTGCTTAAAGTGTGTTTCCACTTTTGCAGCCAAATCGGAATAACACCAACTTTATATTTGTCGTGTTTATATTTGTTGTGTAACTTATAAAAAATTAAAAGTTGCAGGTTACCTTTATAAATGCTTTTTACTTGACTAAAAATCTTTCCATGCTCTCCCTGCTTTGTAACGTTTAACATAGTCTGTACCGTGTTAGCAGTTCTTCAATATCAATGAGATGTGAACACTGCCTGTCCTGACCAAGGGTTAACAATGTAGAAATCACACTCCTATGTTGTATGTTAATGAGGGATACCTGGGGAAAAAAGACAGTGTCCAGAAATTCTTAGAATGAACCATGACACCTTCTCTTTTAAAAACATCTAAAAGATGAGAAATACACGGCTCCCAAAAATTAAAGCAATGCTTTGAAAACCCATCAGATCTCAATGGGGACAAATCTCCTGCTGGATCTCTATACTGACATGGACGGGGTAATGTGTTAGGAACGTAAGGATGCCCCATTGTTTGATGGAAATGAAAATGATCGACCTACAGAGGACTGAATTCAAAGACACCCCGAAAATCAAAGTGAAAAAAATGATGCAGCAGGAGAGTCCGTTTTTCTGAAATTTCATTGCAGCAACTCAGAATGGTCCTCAGTAGTTTGTATGGCCCCCACGTGCTTGTATGCATGCCTGACAACATTGGGGGAGGCTCCTAATGAGACGATGGATGGTGTCCTGGGGGATTTCCTCCCAGATCTGGACCAGGGCAACACTGAGCTCCTGGACAGTCTAAGGTGCAACCTGGCAGCATCGGATGGACCGAAACATGACATACACTGCAAAGCTAAACAAAACAAAAAGCGCACCAACCTTGCGCATTACCTCAGTAACCAAATTTTATTCAATACAGAATGATACTCACAAACAGCGAAGTAATTCAAGCATTTAAGTCCTCACAGGGACTTGAACATTAGGCAGCCTGCGCGAGTCCCATCGTAGGGGTAGACACTCAGAACAGCTGACGCGTTTCGAAGGGCATCCCTTCTTCCTCAGAGCTCTGAGGTTACTGAGGTAATGCGCAAGGTTGGTGCCCTTTTTGTTTTGTTTCACTTTGCAGTATTAGTCGGGCTTCCCCAGCTTTGTTTGGAGCTGCACAACCCTATATGCACTGGTGGTTGAATTTTTCCAGTTCTGGTTCCATCCATCCGCCACTATCTGGGTCTCAGAGTGCAGGAGAGTTCGTATCTGGTCCCGAAACATGACATCCCAGAGGTGTTCTATGGGATTTAGGTCAGGCAAGCATGGGGGCCATTCAATGGTATCAATTCCTTCATTCCTCAGGAACTGCCTGCATACTCTCACCAGATGAGGCCGGGCATTGTGCACCAGGAGGAACCCAGGACCCACTGCACCAGTGTAGGGTCTGACAATGGGTCCAAGGATTTCATCCCGATACCTAATGGCAGTCACGGTGCCATTGTCTAGCCTGTAGAGGTCTGTGCATCCCTTCATGGATATGCCTCCCCAGACCATCACTGACCCCCCACCAAAACGGTTATGCTGAACAATGTTACAGGCAGCAGAACGTTCTCCATGGCTTCTCCAGCCCCTTTCACATCTGTCACATGTGCTCAGGGGGAACCTGCTCTCATCTGTGAAAAGCACAGGGCGCCAGTGGTGGACCTGCCAATTCTGGTGTTCAATGGCAAATGCAAATCGAGCTCTATGGTGCTGGGCAGTGAGTACAGGGCCCACTAGAGGACATCGGGCCCTCAGGCCACCCTCATAAAGTCTGTTTCTGATTGTTTGGTCAGAGACATTCACACCAGTGGCCTGCTGGAGGTCATTTTGTAGGGCTCTGGCAGTGCTCATCCTGTTCCTCCTTGCACAAAGGAGCAGATACCGGTCCTGCTGATGGGTTAAGGACCTTCTACGGCCCTGTCCAGCTCTCCTAGAGTAACTTCCTGTCTCCTGGAGGATTTGGACTGCCTGTGCAACCTTTGTAAGGTCCAGGTATCGCCTCATGCTACCAGTAGTGACACTGACCCTAGCCAAATGTAAAACTAGTCAGAAAAGATAAGTAGGGAAACAATGTCAGTGGCCTCCACCTATAAAACCATTCCTGTTTTGGGGGTCATCTCATTGTTGCCCATCTAGTGCACCTGTTGTTCATTTCATTAACACCAAAGCAGCTGAAACTGATTACCAACCCCCTCTGCTACTTACCTGACCAGATCAATATCCCAGGAGTTTCACTGACTTGATGCTAGACTCTGATTAAAAAGTGTTCCTTTCATTTTTTTGAGCAGTGTATATTATTTATTTTTAGGTATACTTTGTTAAGGGGAACAC